GTACTACTATATATATATATATATATATATATATATATATATATATATATATAAAATGAGATTATTTATCTTTGGTACAAGGTGGTCACAATTAATCTTGACCATTGGATATGAAATCGGGCGGCTACATTTATTTCATTGACCAAGCTCAAAGTAGAAAATAAATTTTCTCAAACTTTATGACACATCACATCGGATGGTTATAAATAATTATGACATGTAAATGGTCTCATTGAGAGAGAGAGAGAGAGCAAACCTAAGAATCATGTGACCAATAGTATGTTGATTTTCTGCCATGCATGGAGAATCATAGGGTAATTTTTTTTTTATTTCTTTTTTGAAGCAAGAGAATAGTATGCTAAGCTTAGTAAGTGGCTTCCCATTTCTCAATTAAGTTGGACCCTACCATCAGCTGCATGGTCACATCAAATAATACATGGCTTGGGTTCTCATTGAGACAATGTTTGAAACTTAAAATTCTTGATTGGACCTTCCCATTAGACTGCAAGGTCTAGATGATGCTATAAGCTAATGGGAAGCACACAAACACAAGCCTTCGTAAAATAACATTTTCTTTTGTGCTAAAAATCATAGACCTAAAGTCTTACATTCAAAATGAATTTAGATGCACCGTATGCCCGTTTGTAACAATGTGTACAAAAGATACGACATATAAAGGAAAATATCTGGTGGGCTGGCTAACTTATATGTCCACTTTGGTTTTCAAGGGATTTAAGACTCAATATCATCTCAATCTCTGCAAATCATTGCCCAGCTCCATGAATTTGGAATTCCAAAAATAGACTTCATATCATCTCAATCTCTGCAAATCATTGCCCAGCTCCATGAATTTCGAATTCCAAAAATAGTAGGCATTTGATGATCTTATTTAAGGAATTGACATAAACAGTGAAAAAAAGTACAGATAAGATAATTTATATCGCTCAATTCATTATTTTAGAATCATGATCCTGGTGGTAGTTGTTGAGATGATCAGCATGTAACATTTTAGATTCAATGTTCATATCCAAGATGGATTTTTGAAGGGTGGTCACATTGTAGTAGTTGCATCACGTAAATGCCTAAACTCTAGCAACAAATAATGCTAGATATGCTCTTGAGTGCTTTTAGAAATGAATGCGTATGAAGGATCATCATCATCATTCGAGCCTTATCCCAACTATTTAGGATTAGGTACACAAATCACGTTTTCCCATTCTAATCTATCAAGGGTCATACCCTCATTAAGATATAAGTAAAGCCCCATGAGCATTGATATATGTTTAGGAATCACTATAAGATGTGGAAAAATATTACAATGGTTGCCTACTTAACACAACCCTCCTGTTTTACCTAAGCCTCCCAAGCTCGGGACTAGCATGACCAGTATGGGTTGAGGCACATGAAGGATACTGCAGAAAATATAAAAGGACTTTATAAGAGAAACCCTTCGATAATAGCAATATAATGTTACTATTATCTAAACAACGAGTGATTTGATGCGTAGCATTGTTTGACATGTAACATAGTTGAGCTTTTCAAGAAGCAAAGCTTGTTTTGAGTTTTTTTGTTTTGTTTTTGGGGTAGTTTTGATCTCTCTCTCTCTCTCTCTCTCTCGCTTCACATGCATATCACTTTCAAACATGAGCCGTGTTTCACCCTCTATTTGAAATATATTTTTTAGCTGTGGGGGGGCTTTGGAGGAACTATTAAGATGAAATTGTCGCATTTGCTTCGTCCATCACAATAATTGTGACAACATAAGTTTCTCCCCCTTCCAGTGCATCTAATGTATTATAAACCAGTGTTTGAAAATCAAGAACAATTGGGGTGAATCGGTACTCCAGAAAGTTGGTCCGGTGAGTCGCTAATTTAGATTGGCAAACTGGATTTTACTTCTCCAGTGTGAGAATCGGTGCATAAAAATAGAAATTTGAAGAAAATGTAAAAGATAAAATAATATTAAAAATATAATATGTGCAAACTGGGGGATCCAGCCCATCCGGATCACTTGGTTTCCTAACATAACCGGGCTATTGGAACTAGACCAATTCTTAGTTTAAACAAGAAATTAGGTTGCTCTTGACCGATTCCCAATCCAAATCGCTGATTCCTTAATCCAAATCACTGACTACAACTAACATTCCATAATAATAATTAAAAAAATCACCAGTTGTTTTTCTTTTTCAATATAGTCATTAGCATAAAATATATAGTTTATTCGCTACATTGTAACCGATAATAATTTAATAATCTAGGTTTTAAAATTTTAATAATATGGTGAATAGCAATGTGCCAAGCCGGTATAATTTTATACCAAGCAACTATAGAGGAGATCCATTTCTATAGTAAAAAAAATTATTGGTGGAAGTGGGGCCTAACCCTCCCCACCACACCAAGAGAGGGAGGGAGAGAGAGATACTAGGAGTGGGGAGGGAGGATGGTTTTCTCTATCATCAACTTATAGTTTGTTGGGAATAGATGGTTGGTACCTAGATCAAGTGATGATCAAAATAGTTGGAAGCATTGAACCAAAAGATATTGCAATGGTGACTAGCAAGCTAAACAATAATTTTCATGTGCCCTCCCAACCCTCCTAAATTTCAACAGCTATCCACCACCCATGTGAAGACATGGCCTTAAGGCTCCATATATGCCTAGATATTTTTGTCCCACCCAAATCAAGACACCACTTATGCACCCTCCCTGTCTTTCACTTCAACCTTTTCTTGAAGATAAATAACCAACACCATACTTGGCCCATAGTGCTCTCAACAATTATTAACTTGCCTCCTCCTTCATAGGCCCCATTTCTATCACTAGCATAACAAACACCATTTCTTTTCATTGGTCCCCTGTCTCTCATTTCTCTCACTATAAACTTGGGGCCCAGCTCCATTATACCTAGTTGAGATCCATTGGCTGAGACCTTAACTTCCGTTGTTTGAAATTGGTTATTTCCCTCTTCACACTGCCACATCTCATAAAACATTCCCCCTCCATTAAATAAAGCTTTCCCCACTCCATTAAATCTCTCTCTCTCTCTCTCTCTCACACACACACACACACAATAACTACTCTTTCTCTATCTCATCCAAAATCTAAACATCATCCCACCTGGGGTTATCCTCCATCACAAACCAACATGACGCCCTGGTTTGGCCACCCAAAACACAAAACATGCCAGCAAACACAATAAAAAAAAAAACAAAAGAAAAGACAAAATAAGAGATAAAGGACACTGAATTTTATCGTAATGATATTGATCATATGCTATGATACTTCACATTCAGTGAATTTTAATTATCTGGTAACGTTTTTGACCTAGAGAGTAATATCCCCAACTGCAGATAGCTTTTGGACAATGCGTAGCTTTCATCACCGACCTAGAGGCAAAATGGAAACGACAAAGACAAAAAAAAACATACTCTTGGCTCAGCTGGGCTCACAACCATTAATTAGGCTTTCACCATCCCTAATGAAAATATTAAATGCAAGTTGTTCCCCACGCCCCCCCCCCCCCCCCCCCCCCCCTTCCCTCCCCCCAAAAAAAAAAAAACAGAAAAAAAATTAAATGCATGCAAACACAAGGGAGTATTTAACATTTATTTAGATATGACCAAAATAAACCATTTCTAAGGAGATTTATCAGTTACATTTTGGGATAAATGCCTTCGAAGTTTAAAACTGAGTGTACAGTAGCAGGGAACAACTGAAGGAAAGTAAATACGAATCCTACTTCTATACATTTAAAACACATTACTGAAACAATGGAACAGGAAAAAACTGAAAAATGTACATGAAGAAACAAGCACCAAAAAAAGGAAATCACTACTAAAAATATATTATATTATGAAAATCACTGTTTTCTCAAAATATGTACAGCATTCTACCTTCCCACGCCCTCTTTTGGACTGAATAGGGAAACAATTGCCGTTAAGCCAGAACATTAACAGTTGTAGAAAACCAGTAAATGCCACATCTAAAACCAGGATAATATGGGTGGATTCCCAAAAACGGAGAAAAGACATTTAATTTATTTAGTCCTACCAAAATGGAACAAAAGCATCACATGAACCACTCCGTTATGGGAAGAAAACCAGGGGCATTTTGGTTATTATAGAAAATAAGTGCACAGTAATTTCTTCTAATCACAAATGAAAGTGAATGAATGAGTTGAGCCCATAGAGTCTAGATGAACCAGGTTCCAAACCCATTTGAAATCATAGTTGGGAATAATAAATTAATAATTCTGGTGAGCCTACATCTAAACCCTTAAGCCTGTCTTAATGAATCATTTCCCACAAGAAAATAAGGGAAAGAAGAATGACATTATCAAATTCTACTCCATTGCTAAGCCTTTGGTCTATTAATAGTAACTGCTCAAACTTTTATTAGAAGAAATTTTTATACATTTAAATTCTCGTAAGCCCCATGATTATAGAACAACATTTTCATAGTCATGTTTATCTATTTCGAGGTTCAACAATGCGGGGCTCATTATGCAAGTATACGGTAGTTAAATAGGCCTCAAGGGAGTTTTCTACAAGAGAAATGAGCTATTCTGTAGAATCTGCTTAATACTCTTCTGGGTTATCAATGGTAGTACTTGTTTATAAGCTTCTCAGTATACTCCCCAAATGTAAGAGTACTATTTGGCTGGATAATCTGCATGAGACAGGATGCAAAATTGGCTAGACATGAGATTCTTGATAAATCAATACATAGTGAAGCAGTTATAGAGATACGTTTAGAAGATCTCAAAGATTGTACCTCTTTGTGAAGATTAATCTCACTAGGGAACTTCAGATTTTCATCCCTGGAAATAAGAAAACATAGAATCAACATTAGCATATTCAATAAGCATTAGCATGCACATAGTTGATTCAAGTCCTTCAGGGAAGAAAATGGTCGTAAAAGGTAAAAATTACTTTACGTGTGCACATAACTGAGCTTTACGATAATAACATAGTCAAAGATATCATGAAAGGAATTCCCATCTTTTTCTTCCTCATACCCAATGATACTAAAAGAGTGCGTATTTAGTATCCAAAATGGTCACACTGCTTCATAGCAAGAAAACTTTCATAATTTTCGTTGTCATTTACTTCTAGGAAATATATACAATGAGACCATTTACTTTTGATATAAAGAGGTCACAATCATCATCGACCTTTACATTTGAAATTGGGTGGTTAATGATATGTCATTGTTTAGGCACAAAGTCTAAAATAAAATTTCTTGAATATTGTGACACTTTCATCTATTAGATTTCACATCTAATGGCTAAAATTGATTGTGATGTTGTCGCAAAAAAAAGTAGTCCCATAGTATACAATCCCTTTGAACACCCCAACCTACCAGTCTGGTTGCATGAACAATGCAAAAGTAGCACGTTGCAGCCCACAAGCTTTCTCGCCTCTTGGTGCCTATCCCACGAAATGCATTATCGCAAAGCAAGGGATCAGAATCAGTTCTGAAAATATAGAAACGTGGAAAGAAGTAAACTGAAACATTATGATATGAATGAGAAGTGGCAGCTGTAGCAACAAGTCGTCTGGGAAAAAAAAAATTTCTCTTCAATCCTTATTTTGTTTCTGGTGCTCAGATTATCAAAATGAGTAAAATCCTTGCTCAGGTACAATACTTGCGCTTTTCCTGAAATACTACACATCTAGAAAGAAATGTTACAAACCTGAACACAATGTGGGGTTGCACAGAGAAGACCACTTGAGAGTAGTTCAGTTGTTTCCCCAATTTGGTATGCTATTTCATCTTCTCCAAAAACTGCCTATAAAGCATCACAAAACGAATTAGACTGTAATATGAGAACCCAATAATACCATTTTGTAATATGTCAAAAGGCATGAATGCAAGTAAGAGAGAGAATATTTTGTAAACAATCCATTCCTCAACAAACACATCGAGACCTTGAGAAAACAAGGTCGTCTAGATCACATGAAAGATGCCCGATAACCATACTTAATTAAAGCGAGTGACCACTAGTAACAACTACTTAATTAAAGCGAATGACCACTGAATGAAAGACCATACATCAAATTAGACTAATACAGGTATCAAGCATCTTAAATTGCTTTAAAGCAACTTGCATTAGCCATTCCCTCACTTTAACCAATTTCTTTTGCTTTGCAGATTTCATTTATTGATTTACTCACATTTAACCAACTTGTAGCACCTTGCCATTATGGTTATCAAGCAACTTGCTTTAACCAATTAAAGCAAGTGGTACCATATATATTTTTTTATTTAGCTCTCAAACTACAACTATTGATGATTACATGTGGAGACCAGAAAAAGGCTCAGAATGTGCAAGGAAAACTCTCAAGCTCCACATTGGAGGAATGTGATAACATGATAATATGGAGAAACATGGAGGAGAAACAATATATTTGCAAACTCAAAAGGTATAAGACCCTTTAAATGACAAAGACCGATTACACTGCCATAAGTTAACAAGAGCACGAATGCAGCTGTGTTCAAAGGAGGGTATTGCTTTTTTCAGCACAAGTTTTGCCCACTGAACTAGTACTCAAATATCATGAAAAGTAGATTCAACTTTTGTTGATTATATATTTGGAAGGGATTTCTTACTATATCACATGCAGTATGCTAACATCTAGTGTCCACCATCTGCCTCAATGACAAAAAGCGGACATGAACCATTTCCTCACTTGAAAGCTCAATGGAGGAGAGGTTCACATTCACTTCGGTCACTGAAACAAGCACACACACTTACATGAAAGTTAGCAGCTTGGGAAGTTATTTACAGAGCACAAGAGAATTAACACTCATGTAAAAAAGAGAAAGTGTCAAATTCAAGAATAGAAAAGAGCATTTAGACTAAAGAAACATGTCCTTTCTCATACAAAATGTTAAGGAGAATTTAGGATGCACATGAATGTCACCAATAAATGATATTAATGATGAATTTTCCGAATACAACATTGTGGATAGTGCGAGCAAACCAATGAATGAAATCATCAGAAAAAAAGAAATGAAACATTACAGACTTTAACAATTTGATTGGCGCGTGTTTTGATATAAAGACCAGCATTAGTATCAGGACATGCTACTTCCACACCATCTTTCATGAACATTCCGCATGTAAGTCCTACATATGAGTAAACAAACCAAGAATTAGATTTCCATGACAATAAGATGATGAGTCAATAATCATGAGACAAATCATAATACTACACTTTAGCACTAGAAAGTTTAGAAACCTTTCAGTGTGAGGCTACTATAGGCATTTAAACCTAGTCACATAAGTAAGGCAGGACCCAGAAAATAATGCAGGACAAAGCCCTTAAACTTTGCGGAGTATGAAAGAAAGTCTTTCACATAACATTGGCATCATCCTCGAATAAAATATGCAAACTGGTGATTTTCATGTTAAGAACTAGTTTGGGCAAGGCGCCGCCTAGGCGCTAATGTTTGGGCGCCCGCCTAGGCGCTGCCCCGTGACACTTTGTGGACAGGCAGAACAAACCCCTCAGGTAGGGTCCAAAAATACAAATTTCCCCCCTTAAAAAGGGGGGAAGAGGGTTTTAGGGGGTATTTTAAACCCCCAAAACAAAAACCGTGGCCTTTAGGGCGAGAAAACCCCCCCCAAAACAAGTATTTTGTGATTTATTGAAAGATCGATAAATTTTTTATTTTTTCAATTTCTTCCCAAAACAAAGGCAATATAGTTTGTGGGTGGATTTGGAGCTTCTAGTAGTTGATTTTGAGAGCTTTTTGGACCTAATAGACAAGGTTTGCATCGACGATGATTCGATTTTGATATTTTTAAAGTATTATCACAATTTAAAGAGGGTTTTGATTTTATTTTGCTACAGCATATTATGTTATGAATCATGTATTTTTTTCTTTTGCTTTTTTTGTTTCCCTTTTACAATATATTTATATATTTGTAGTTAAAATATTGATTTTTTTTGCGATTACTTGAATTTTTTCTCGTTTGGACGATGAAATTGAGCATATATTGTAATCTTTTATGAATAGTTGATTCCTTTTTTGTACAATGTGTCATGTTTTGATATTCTATAATGGGTGCGGTTTGTATTGAGCCAAGGCTCTAAACAATTAAAGTAAAGCGCACCTTCAAATAGTGTCGAGAAATGTGGTTTCAATACTGGAAATCTTTGTGATAGTCTTAAAATATATTTTCACTGTTAATTATAAAATTTAAAGCTTCAAAAATAGTGTAGATCGAGCATATCTATGAAAACTTGAAAATCTTGAAAATTGACAGTCCAAAAATGCATCAAGATGCATTATTTCCAAAACTTGAAATCCATTTTTTTCTCGTGTCCATGGATCTTAATGTCGAGATGATCAATTTGAGGATATTTACGCATCAAAAGAACCTCTTGTAGTGAAAATTTTGAGGTGGGCTCTAATTTGATTGTTTAGAGCCTCTGCTCTGTATAAACTTTTTTCTTTTATTATTTTTATTTTACTTTATTTGATAAATAATTGATTATGTGATATCTTAATGGGTTAAGTCTTATGTGAAAGTGAAACTAAGGTCTTATATATTCAATTATTCATTTAAGTCTTATCGTTGAGGGCACCCTATCTCCGGGCAGACGCTTAGGCATCTAGGCACCCAAACCGCCTAGGCGGCCAAATCCACATTTTTTAACACTTTAGTGAATATAAACTAATGACTCGGAGCGTAGAGCATTTAACCTGTTCTGCTTAACACTGTGAACGAAACTATACATACTCCAGCACCTCTCAACACATGACGAGTTGACACTTTGAGACAACACCTTAACAACTAGCGAATATAATTCTGGAACCCCACCACCATATAGATCCCACCACGAAACAATTGTCATTGTTCATCTGTTGCAAATGGATGTCGGGAGTAAGAAGACTCCTTTATTACTTACAAAATCACTGACGTGTTGTCGTATTCTGCCCCCCCTCATTCTCGTCTGGGTACAACCTCCCAAGTGCAGCAAGATAAGACATTGATACTTCTTTATATTGGTGCGGTTTTAGCCTCTTTTGCCCACCAGGAGACTGCATAGTTAACCATTCCCGAGACTGATACTTAGGACTTAAAATATATGCCAAAAATAGTTAAGAATCTCAATATTAGAACAAGAGGAACCCTGTGATATGACATACTTAAACCTCGATTCCTTAACCAAGGGAACTCATACTAGCTCTACTTGACAACCTTGTTTTTATGTATAGTGGAGCTTAGATTCCTGCTAGTCAATACATTGAACCCACTGACATGGGATCTCGCTCCCATAAACCAAAGGATCTCATTCCTTGTCTAGATCATTGTACAAACGCCGATCCTAACCCCAAGGAGCTCCCACTATAGGGTGGTTCGATGAATCCCAAACCAATCCCGCTCCTGTCTCCAACAACTATAGGATAAACCACGAAGAGAAAATAACTTTTGAAAATGGAGAAAGTGACACAAGGTAAGAAACTTACATTGAATGACTCAAAGAGAGGATCTAGGCTCTACAATCACATGCTTCACAAACTAGCTCTAGAACCCTTTATATAACAAACCAACTAAAAAGTAAAAGCTAACGCTAAGATGTGCAAAATCACAAAAGCGCATACCTAGAGAACTCAACTTCTAACTTTTTAAAACCCATCAACGAGCAAGTTCCTAATCTAACAAAAGAACCCAATATGAAAAAGTACCCAACCGAGGAAATAGCAACCCCAATGAGCAAGTTCCTAATCTAACAAAAGAACCCAATATGAATAAGTACCCAACTTTGGAAATAGCAATTGAGCAAGTTCCTAATGGGTTGGATTTTAATGGCTTCCAGAAAATATTTGCAACTTGATTCCTTGGTTTTGCAATACATTAGTTTGACTGCATAATCTTTCAAAAGCCATCAAATTAAGTTCTAATGAAAATTTGTTGTGCTTGTTTTGTCCATGGAACAACAAAATCTTTGAAACAAATATAGCAAAATTATTATCGACAAAGAGAAATGATAATTAGAAATTTAGCATATGGTATTAGACACGTCGTCTTCAAGTGAGGAGTTTCTGATCATGTACCGTGAGAATGGAGTTGCCCCTCCTCTTACAGGTTAACCACCCAAATGTCTAAAGTACCCTTGTTCCTCCTCAAGAATGGAGTTGCTCTTTTTTTTCTACAAAGGGCAATCTCGCTTTCCCTGCAAAGTTTCTATGTGTGTGTGTGTGTGTGTTGGGTTTTGTGGCCTTTAAAGGTCTAGAGACCTTGTAAAAATGATATTTACATTTCAGGATCATGGTCCTACTGTTTACTATCCAACTTTGAAAAGCCAATTATGAGCCCCTGCTTTGAGACTTTGGGTCATGGGTCTTTGTTGGGTTTAAAATATTATTTCTACTGTAATTTAATCAAAAGTGTATTTATGAAAATTTCATATCTTAAAATAACACATGTGGGAGCAAGGATCCAGCTCCACGTGTGTGTTTTTTGTTTTTGAGAGTGGCAAAACACGTGCACCCTAAGGGCAACACCCAATGTTTTTCAACAAAGTGATGCCACCTTTTGAGGATGATAAGCCCCACACCATTTTTTTTTTTTAAAAAGTAGGCTCTTTATTTAGGAAGAAAGGGGGGGGATGCCCCCACTGTTTGAATTTTAAAATAGGTTTAATGTGGCACACCATTTTTGTAAAAAAAAAAAGGGCCACACCACTTTTTCTAGGCAATAGGAGCAAGCCCCATTATTTATAATTCAAATTTTAAATTAAATTAAGATAGATAATCTAATTCTAATTACATTTGGTTTCGTATCCTTATAGGAGATCCATATTAAAGATTGATTATATTTCAATTTTAAATAGGAGTTGGACTTGGGTCAAAGTCTAAAGGGGATAAGGTTCTTATCTTTTCCACCCAAAATCATGATTGCTAATTTTTGGAATGGATGACTCTGATTAAATCTCTCTCACCCCACAAATTTCCTAATTAAGATATAAATTTCCTTCTATAAAATAATCTAGTTTGAACCTTTTCAAATAATACAACTAGATCCTCCCTCTCACATCCCAAATTTTCTCCCTCCTATTCTTCACGCTAACCTCTCCCTTCTATAGATATTCACACCACCCTCTCTCCTCCATAAAGGGTCACCTCCCTCTCTCTTTCTCTCTCTCTCTCTCTCTCTCTTGTTTATTTGAGAAGGTTATATTAAAAGAAAAGAAGAAGAGGAACTTTAAAGTGAAGCTTTGTTGTATTTTGAAGAAAGAAGAGAGAAGCCCAACCTAGAGAGAGATCTACTCACAGATTCAGCCCTAAATTGTTCTTATAGGATTTGTAGAAACCCCAGTTTATTTTTGAGCTCTCTAAAACCCTAACAAAAGAAGTATTTCCTATAAAGCCTCCCTATCTCAGAATTTCCAGAAACATCTTAAGAAGTAAAAATGCGTCATTAGTCAGAGGATCGGGTGTGGGGTGTACCACATCTCGGTAGGGTAACTCCAGACATCTTCCATTAAGTCTTCCGAGCAGTTTTAATTAATTTTCAATATTATTTTTTATTTTCTATAAATTTCCAAGAACTTATTTTTGCTAAAAAAATTATAGTGGAAGTTAGTTTAAAGCTCTTGGATAGTGTTTTTATTTCTCTTGGCAGTGAAAATAAAGATCATATGTTATATCTAGTGCATTATTTTAATTTTACAGCAATATATTGTGGCCCTTGTAAGTGGAATTCAGGTATTTGAAATAAAAGTAAAAGAAAAAATTTTGAATTTAATATGTTGAGTTCCACATAACCACACTTTTTATTGAGTACAAGCTTTTTCACTTTTGCGCTCCACATAGGGAGTCGAAGGTTGTATGTGATAGTTTTAGTTTTAAGGTTTATTTCTATTTTTTTTTTAGTTTTTTAAGGATTCTAAGGTTTTTATTTTTTTTATTTACTTCATGAGTACTATTAAAAATTATTGTTCATAAGTATTGTTCATATGGGTAAAACTATCATTACGAATTTTAAAATTAGGATATATGGGTCAATGTATTATTTGTTTGTACACTTTTTGTACATGCAATACTAAATTGTTATAATATATAAGATATGTGTATGGGGCCATGAGGGGTCATACCCCAGGTTTCTTTCAATAG